ATTCTGATGGCTGTGGGCAGGAAGGATCTCCTGTAGCGCTCCGTCTTACAGCAGATCTGAAGAAGCCTCTGACTGAAGACACTCTGTTGTTGTAGGACAGTCTCATGAAGNCGAAAGGAAAATTAAATGTTGTTGTAGCTCATTATGAAGGTTTCCTCAAAGAGCCGTTGTAGATTCTGATGGCTGTGGGCAGGAAGGATCTCCTGTAGCGCTCCGTCTTACAGCAGATTTGAAAAAGCCTCTGACTGAAGACACTGCTGTTGTAGGACAGTCTCATGAAGAGGATGCTCAGGGTTCTCCATAATGTTCTTCATTATATGAAGAATCATTCTTTGCACAATGATCTCCAGAAGTTCCAGAGGCAGAGCCAGGTTTCTTTGTTAGCTTGTTAAGCTTTTTGTTAAGTTCCTGGCTCTGATGCTGCTACCCCAGCAGATTCATGCATCACCAGAGCAAGTCAGTACAACTTGGAGAGTTTTACACCAGACGTGTTTCCTGACGCAACCAGGAATCGAACCAGGGTATCAAAGATGAGGATTTACCCCCGTCACCATAAAGGGATCATCAAAGATACATTTTCAAAATATCAGAGGAAACATGCAAAAAGCTGGGCAGGAATTATGAAAATTATTTGATTGCTGTAATCCCAGTAAATATTTTTCTATTAATTACTGACATGGTTATAAATAATGTTCTATATGTCCATTTTTATAAAATCTAAATAAAACTTTGTATATTTACATTTATTTTGTAAATGTTCATGCTGAGAATTTTGTTAAATAAATTGAAGAAAATCGGAAAAACCAAAAACAGAAACATCAGCTCTTACTATGCAACCTGATGAAGGAAATATAGGATCGAATGATAAAAAAAACACATTTTTAGATATTTTCTTAAAGACTTTTTCTTGCGGCCTTTTTTTGTCATTTTTTTCTTGAAAGTAGGCAGACAGGAAACAGTGTAAGGAGAGGGGGAAGATATGTTGCACAGGTCGCCGTATCGGGGACTCGAACCAGGGACCAGCCACGTCGAAGGCCCGAACCTCTCATTACATGGGTCCACTCCTGCATCAGCACCGAAGTGTGTAAAAGAAATCTAGTTTGTTAAACAGGAGTTCATGTTAATACAATTCAATTGTTTTCTCGTACAGAACCAAATTAAAACAAAAAGTCGATTAAAGTCCAGTTCATTTAAAGAAAATCCTCTTCAGTCACACAATTATTTACCAGTTCACTCCTGTTCATTTGACAGAAATAAATTTAACTGAGTGTATTGCAACCCACATTGAGTTCAGCCCAGTAAAAGCCAGTTAATATCCAGTTTATGATCTATTTATTGCCACAGAAAGAGTCTTTATTAATTCCTTGATGTTCTAATTTCATCTGCTTCAGGAAATTAAGATGATTCTAATCATCTGCATTCAGATCAGGTTGCTTAGAGTTCAGCTTATATTTCTGCAGCCATTTTGACTGTTTTAGTAGTTAGAGCAACAGAAAACTGGTTTGTTTCACAATTGACAGGAGAATTAGATGTTTTCACTCAGTGCTCATGGCCCATATGACAAACTGACTGTATGTTTCCCTGAGGCATGATTTCACCATTAGTGGAGAATTTAATCTTCTGCATTAAAAGTTTAAATAGTTGTACCGATACTAGAGTCCAACACGTGTGCAACGTGGTCTACCTGCAGAGCCTCTTGATTTGTGTAGGCCTGTTTTCATTGGCAACAACACATGCACAGAATATGAAAATATGATCATGCATTTGCAAGGCGATGGGGCCTCACCTCTCCCACAGACTGCACACATTGGGGTCTCTGGGGTCCAGGGAGCTGCTCAGTCCAACCAGGAAGCCAAAAAGATGCAGGACTGCAGAGAAGAACAAAGTCTGCATGGTCCTGCGGGGCGAACACAAGGAGAGATGGATAGATTGGACTGCAAAACCACTTCAGTTTGGACAGAACAAGATAAAAAGAAATCGTATTGCTTTAACAGATCAACTTTATTTCTAACTACCGGTTCAGGCTGCAGTACGGCACATTAACGTCCCTACTTACTCTTAGGTTTTTTAAACAAAGATAATCCTTGGAGAAGTGACAGTTATAGCTTATAAACAAGTTGGTGAAAACAGTGACTCTTAGCCCACAGAGTGGAAAATATTGTCCAACTGTTGATTTGGAGCCACTGCTTTGGTTTTCATTTATGATAATTAACAATTCCCACAGTGATTAATGGAAAGATTTATTGTAAACTGGTTCTGTTTACCAACAGTATAAACTGCGGTTAAACGTTACCCTCCTGATTATAAAAGGAGCTAATAAAAGCTCAGCAGAGGTAAGGCGAAGAGCCAGAAATGAGCGTAACGCTGTCTGCTCCCTGCTGAGGTCCACACTGTCTCAAAGCAAACATCAGGAGACCTTCTGACAGCAGACAGCAAAGCTGAGGCTCAGTCACCACAAGAAAGGGACCGGACTCCAGAAATGTGACTCCCAACATCATCCTGACCCCTCTGCATCAGAGCCTCCACACCCCACCCATGTCCCCATCCACACTCCAGAAACATCTGGATCTGATCAGGGAGCCAGCCAAGCACAGCAGCCCAGCTCAGGGACTCCGTCAGGCTCTCAGGGAGCAGCAGGGAATGCAGCTTTTCCCTCCATCATATTCCCTAAAATATCCACACAAATGAACAGAAGTTCAACAGGCCAGATGTACAATGTTTCTGACAGAAGCATCATGAGAACATAACGCCTCTCTGTGGAGCAGGAACATTACGTTGATACTAGATTATTATGTTGTGTGTCCCTCTGACAGATCTACAACTTCACAGCTTCTCGGATCATCTGATCGAAGCCCAGGAGGTAACTGGGATGTTGGGAGCTTCAGCTCAGGATTTACTGAAGACATACAGCTCATATAGAACATCACAGATCTGAGAAAGAGTAGAAATTTCTGTCTCCTACTGTAACAACTCGCTCTTTATTCTTCTGGGTTTTTATAGATTAGATGTTTTTTCAATACGCTTGATGGAAAGAATGAAGAAATTAAAAGTTTCTTCACTTAAGGAATGTTCATGAGATTAAAAGTTTTACATTTAGATGCTGTTTTCCCCTAAATATTGGATATTTTAGTAAATTCTTTTAGTTTTAATATTATATTTAATATTTGTGTATTTTGAAAAAAACAACAAAGAAAATGCATTATTTTCATATTCATGAAAACTTTTAATTGCTTTATTGATGTTTGTGTAATTTTAACATGTTGCCCCCTGTGTAAAAACAAATCATCAAGAAGTTCCAGCAAGCAGCAGACGACTCCAGACCAAGTCACCATTTCCATTCAGCACCGTCGCCTATTGTCTCCACCTAACATTTCATCCAACGCTTTGTTTCACATCATAAAACGTAACTCTAAGTAAGTAAAGTTTAGCATCTAAAGAATAACTAGTGTTTTTTTTTTCTCATCAGTCAGCAAACAATTAAATTAAGTTGTCAGATATTTAAATTAAATTAAGTTGTCAGATATTTTACCATATAAAGTTGATAATCTCTCAGTATCTCTCAGTTTTAAAAGTATTTGATTTTTGTTTTCTAATCTGCACCAATTTCATAAAAAAAGACAAAATACAAATACTAATGGATTGTCTGTGGAAGCCTACAAGCATGGTTTTTGAAAAATCAGGCTATCCAGATCGAAATGAAAACTGAGGCTAAAACATTCAGGGGACCTAAAGAGTAAACTTTGCATCTTCTCTTTGTTTGGTTAAAATGATAGGTTAAGGACTACTGTAACTCTGTGGAAAGCATCCTGACTGGCCTTTGCCTATGGTTGCTCTCCGAACTTTTACCATGTTGCCTTTATGTTTAGTTGAACCAAACCAAATCAGTTCTTAGGTTTTAATTTTCCTGCATAGAAGATGCCTGGTTGTCACTGTATAACACAGCTTGTACTTTTCCAGAACTTAAACGTTACTTTCTGGAACCTGCCAGATACTTTCAAGGAATTCAGCAGGTACTTTCATGGAATTGGTAAATGACTTGAAAGTACCGGGAATGTACCTGGTACGTTCCATGAAAGTACCTCATAAGTTCCTTGATTCCTTACATGATTGTTGGGACACTGAATCTGAAAGGAGCAATAAGCATAAAATAATTATCAAAAAACTGATACATTCTTGTATAACAGCTTTGGCTGTGCCACATTCGTGGGAGACAAAATCTAGACAATGTTCAGTAAGAAAAGTTTTTTTCTAAAAACTGAATCATTTCCTTGCTTAGAGCCAACCTCTGACTTCATAAGAAATTAATGTGATGAGTCTACTTACATCACTTTTACAGCCAATCAAATCAGTTTCTAGCCAACTCTGCCTTTTTCATTCATGGTTTTGTCATTTGACTCTTCTGGCACATTTTACTTGTAAATGTTATTATCAGCAAAGTTCGTGAGGTGAAGTCAAGAAGATCATCTATACAAGGCCAACATCTGTTTCAAGTTCAAAGGATTAGGGGCAGTTCCCAAGCATCATAAGTCTCCATATCAGCACCAAGGATGCAGTTAGATTATTTAGAGATCAAATAAAATTAGAACATTTTGTTGTCTGGAGAAGCCCAAAGGAAAAACACAATTACTATTTAGTGGATTTAGCAGAGATGAGCTTAGAATATTCCAGAAGATGTCTCCACATCTACTGAGCTATGATCTCAACGTTATTTCTGTTCATTTATTCTTTCATCTTCTATACCACTTATTCCATAGTGGGTCACAGTGGAGCCGGTCTCCATCTCCAGCAGTCTATGGTGGGAGGCAGGGTCCACCCTGGACAGGTCGCCAATCCATCGCAGGGTGACACAGAGACATACACAACAAACAACTATGCACAGATCCATTCACACCTAAGGGCAATTTAGATAGACCAACCAAACAGTCATGTTTTTGGACTGTGGGAGGAAGCCAGAGTACCCAGTGAGAACCCACGCATGCATGGGGAGAACATGCAGAAAGACCTCCGGCCGGGAGTGGAACCCAGGACCTTCTTGGTGCAAGGCAACAGTGCTACCAACTGCACCACCATGCGGCCCACTGCTGCATTTGTTAACATTATTCATCAAGTTTTCTTTCATTTCATCATCTGCCTCCTGTGCTCAGATTCTTATATTTGGATCAACCTTTTATCCTGGATTATTAATACAAGTAAAAACAATGCTTAGTGCTTATGGTCAAGACCAGCAATCTATGCTTAACCACCCCCTGCCTCCTCTGTGACATCCCTACACAAACTGTGAGAAATTTTCTGATAGGTAATCATTCTAGATAAACGTTTCCTGATAATATTTACTTCTGGTGCAGCTTACACCAGCAGGTTACAGCAGGTTAACTGGCAGGGTCCAGTTTTAGTTCCTCAGTGCCCAAAGTGATGTATATGGGTGCATTTCCAACCAATGTAAAAAACAATAAAGGCTAAAAGTCTGAAAGTATAATTCTGAACTAAATTGGACTCTCCAAAAATAAAGCACCATCATGTTGCACACATTTGAATCACATTTACAATGTACAGAATCACAACCATCATTGCCGTATCAGTACCTGGAATATGGCAATGTTTAGTAGGCTATTATGCACCATGCGTCATGCATTAAAACTTTACCTGCCTATAATAATTTTTCCACTGTATTTGTAACTGTTGTCTCAGAAGCTAATGCCCAGGGGGAAGGGTGGAGACTTTGTGATCACACTAAGGAAGAGAGTGGTGTCAATGTGGGCTAATCACACATTATTATGACAGCAATCTTATACGATAGTATCACAATCTCACCATATATCCCTGTCACACTATTATGTATCTGCCTTTTGTTTTAGTGACATTGACAAATGATGCTCAAGCATCACCATCCAATGCATTAAACACTGTAGCATACAGAATTTTACCACCAGCTAATCCTGGCTGCAACATATTTTTAGGCATGTCAAAAAGCATGGGTGCCACAGCTCTCACATATACATAACTGATATAACTGATATACTGACATAACATATACTACTGCAACTCAAATACTTTAGCAATGACTTCAAAATAACAACATTACTTAATTTCATGCAGCATTATGCAAGCGCTCTGTCTGCACTGATGAAAATTCATTCTCCTTTGGATGAAACTGAATAAGATACTAACAATACGTCTTTCTTTCTAATTAATTTGGCTAATTTTTATCTGGCCACTAGGGGGCACTCATAGAGCATTGACATTTTTTCCCAGACATTAACCTGATCCTTATCATACCACAGCAAAAGTAATGTACCCTATCAAACACTAGATTGCACACACTTGAGCCCAATACACACACTATTAAAAGTGGAAGCGCATCAAAAGCCACATAGACAAAGAGACAAAATCTGCTAAATTTCACCATGTTTAGACATCCATAATATTTTTTTTCAGTACTCTAACCCATATGGCAAGACAGGAAGCAGCAGATGTGTTCAGTGACACCTAAAGAGTTAAACTTTGGTCTCATTTGACCAGGCTGTATTTTTCCTGTATATCATTAGCTTGTCCAAATCTTTTGCAGCAAACTTGAAAAGAGCTTCAGCATGCTTTTTTTATTCAGCAGTGGAGTCTTGTGTAGTAAGGGTGTGGTGGTTGAGTGAATCATATATTGTTTTCAAGAGAATAACTCTACCTGCTATTTTCAGGTCTTTCAGGAGTTCTCTGTGAATGCTCCTAGGCTCTTGGACAACATATTGTTTTGACTGTACTATAAGAACAAGGTTTAAGGTGATATGAAGTTCATTCCACGCCTGGATTATGGCCCCAAAAGCACTCAGTAGAACATTCAGAAGTTTAGAAATGCAGCTGTATCCATTGCCATTAGTATGTAACAGTAAGATTATGTAAAGGTCCTTTTGATTAAGATTTTTATTATATCACCCTGTGAAATACTTTGGTAATGCGCAACCTTATCATAAGGGACATCAGTTAATATTAAACCAGCTGATATTGATTTGCACATAATATTTGTGGTTAGTTGTTTTCAAACAATGTAAATTATTTAGAATATTTTTATTAATACATTTTATAAGTCCAAAAAGGAGTATACCTCTGATTTTTGCATCGTCTTCTTTGTATTCTTATGTTCCAAACTCTAAAGTTTTTGTCTTGGCTTTAGCCTGGTTATTTGCTATAGTAGCTCCTAGCCAGGTCTTGCTTTATGTTCACTTGACATTTCCTCTAGTTTTTGTTAAGAAACAACAAAACTAGTTGAGTTTAATGGAGATTTGTATTCCCTCTGCCTTACACCCTGTCCTTTCTGTACTATTACTAGTCTGTTCCAACTCTACTCCAGAAATATTGTTTGCGGAATATTTTCCCTTCCCGTTTCATAGAGATGTTTACATTTTAAGCAACTCTGCGTGGAAAAGCAGGGAAAATGTGCTGAAATGAGAGGAAAATTTGCCTGTGGCTTGATGAATAATACATGGCTTTAATATTGGCAAAGTTAGTGGTTCAATTATCTGCAGAGACACTTCAAGTATGTTTATAAAATAGGGTTGTCTTATGAAATGTCATTTAATATTTATCTTTTAGCAGTATGTTTGAGCAGGAATTGGACAGCAGTGTTAGACAGCAGTCAGAGTGATCTCAGTTTGGAGAATCAGGGAGTGAATCTCATTGGTTAGTCCAGCTAACAGCTTCTCAGCTTCATCACCATCTGAAACAACTTAAACAGAAAACATTCATAGCTAGTTTTACAATATTTCTACAAGAGAAATATGGACCATCTCCCACAGCCAGGCCTGCTCGGACAGGCTTTACAACTACAACTTAGTTCATGGTCTACAGAAAAATGCTTAATACTTACAAACCCTCATTACTAGTGGACATGAAATCAACTGAAAAACACCTGTGTTATAAACTCTTAATGGACATAAAAATGGTTCATGAAATGATCTTAGCCGCTTTATATCTAAACCTAGTGGGTGTGACGGCTCAACAACACAAATTGAACTCATGTAATTAACTTAAAAATTGAATATTAAAAAAACTAAACTGTAAAACATGGTGGGAACTAAAATATTGGTCATATTGTTTGCAGTTTTGAAACACATCTTTACACCTTTTCTATGTACATAAATTCCTTAAAATATCATCATTGCATTCATTCACTCGTTTATCTATGCATTTATGCAGCTTCATAGTAGTATTTAGAAACATTATATTCCAGAATGGTTTATTATATTAATACTGATTATTTTATTCACAATGGGAGCCTATATTCCCACCATCCATGTATTAAATAAGTGCTCCAGTATATCCAACTTTAAATATCAATAAATGTAATAAATAAATAACATCACATTGTGGGCTATTTTGGCTAAAAATGGCTGCTAATGGCACTGAAAGAAAATCAGTTTTAGGCAGAACGTTATGGGATGTAATTCAGTTATACGTTTAAATGCAACATTCCTCAAGACGTTTGTTAATAATAAGGCAGCTACATATCAGACTGAATGCAAATAATCACACAATGAAAGAGGAGACTAAACATCTGACATAACCAGATCAGTCTGTGGTCCAGAGAACTGAAATCCAGATCTTCAGTTCTTGGTTGTTCTCACTCAACAGGAATGCAGTTCGTCAGAACCATAGACTACATTTGCTGATATACACTCACCGGCCACTTTATTAGGTACACCTTGCTAGTACTGGGTTGGACCCCCTTTTGCCTTCAGAACTGCCTTAAACCTTGGTGGCATAGATTCAACAAGGTACTGGAAACATTCCTCAGAGAGTTTGGTCCATATTGACATGATAGCATCACACAAATGCTGCAGATTTGTTGGCTGCACATAGGGCTGGGCGATATATCGAGATTTTAAAACTATCGCGATTTTTTGAAAAACATTATAGGATGAGAGTATATCGTTTATATCGAGATGTTCTATGTTGCATATCAATTCTTTTAGATCTGCCAATTCCTTTCTCATTTTCCTCATGTCTGTGCCGGACCTCCCACGGCCCCTCCTCCCTCACACTCTGAAGACAAATTACACCACCCCATTGTGTCATATGGCGGCTAGCTAAGCTAGAAAGTTTACTATGCAAAAGCAGCCACAAGATGGAAGGTGAGGATGAAAGCACGGGAGAGGTTATCGGAGAGCACCTGGTGAGCAAAAAGCAAAACAACGGGTCACTCATTTGGAGATGGTTCCGATTCAAAATCTCAGATGAACAACAGAAAGATGTTTTTTGCAGAGAATGCCGAAAGCAAGTCCCGACAAAAAGTTTGAGCACTACAAATCTCTTCCACCATTTAAAACAGCACCATAAAAAAGAATATGAAGTGTCCATTCAACTGCGGGCTGCAGCTCAGACTGTGAAGCCTTCCCAGCCTCCTGCATCGAAGCAAACCACGTTACAAAACTCATAGACCCGTGCTGTGCCATATGAGAGAAAAAGTGACAAGTGGCACGAGATTACTAAAGCTGTGGCTTATCATATCGCTAAGGACATGGTCCTGCTATCAACTGTGGAACAAGACGGCTTTGTACAGCTGCTTAAAGTCCTTGACCAAGGATACCAGTTACCGAGTCGGAATTATTTTGCCAAAGAAGTGCTTCCACAAATGTATACTGAAGTTAGAGAGAGTCTTGTCAACAGGCTCGTCAAATTGTCTCACTTCGCACTGACTACCGACATTTGGTCCAGCAGGACCTGCAAGCCATACTTGAGTGTGACTATCTATTTCATTGAAGACTGGACACTGAAAAGCGCATGTCTCCAGACCACCTACTTTAGAGCATATAGCTAAAGCCCTGCAGGATGTCCTCACAAGGTGGAACCTCAACCCGACAGCACTGGGCGCTGTAACGACTGATGTGGTGAAGGCGGTGCAGCAAAATAAATGGCAGAGGATGCAATGTTTTGGACACAGACTTCATCTGGCTATTGGTGAGTGCAAATTATAATGTTGAACCAGTTGATTTTAAATAAGAAATAAATATGCCAGCATTGCCAAGCAAAATGTTAAATAACACACAAAATAATCAGTTTCAGAGCTAAATATGTACGTTAACCACA